ATGTACACCCATGTTCATAGCAGTATTGTTCACCATAGCCAAGAGTTGGGAGCAGTCCAGATGTCAGATGAATGAATATATTCATGAATAAATTACCTATAATTATTTATCTATAACTGAATTGATGTTTACATATTATAAAAGCTATATAATTATTTAATAAACAACATATATTATAATTAAACATATTAATATACCCTGGCCAGGCAGCTCAGTTGGTTAGAGCATTGTCTAGTATGCGAGGGTGCAGTTTGAACTCTGTTCAGGGCACATACAAGAATCTATAATAATAAAAGCATAATATGCTAATTAGACTGGATGTCCTTCCAGACGAAGCCAGGGCTGCCAGGGCTGCCAGGGCTGCAGCTGCAAGGGCCAAGCCTCTTGCACAAGCTTTGTGCATCAGGCAGGCCTCTAGTCAACAAATAAAGGCTTGAATAAGTGGAACAAAAAATTTGATGTTTCCCTCTCTCTCTCTCTCTACCTCCTCCCTTCTTCTCTTTCTAAAATCAATCAAATAATTAAAAATTAAAATGTAAAGTGTATAAATACAACATGAATTTAATATTAGATTATCTTACAAAACATATTGTTTATGGAAATTGAAAGATGAGATTAAAAATATGAAGAAATCTCTTTCCTCCGGCCTCCAATGGGGCCACTAATTGGGCAGAACACTCCCACATTGGTTTCCCTTTGCCTAGAAACTCTGAGAGTTAAAATCTTAAGAGATTCCCCACCCCCTATCTCTGCTTTCCTTCCTGCTTCACTGAAATTTTAAATGTAAGGACAAAATTTGTTGTGCTGCTGTGTTAATGGTGACTGTCTTGTTTTCCAATTTTCTTCTGGAAAGACAACATAGGTATTTGAATGCCTTTTTTAGATACATCTGCTCTGAAGACAAAACTGTGCTGAGGTTGTGCCTGTGAGAATGATAATGATGAAGTAAATGTAACCAAAGCTGCTATAGTAGACTGAAGAAGCAGAAACAATCAGGGGCAGGCAGAAGTAGGTTTAGGGTTGTTAGTACGGAAAGAGACATACAATAGGTCATTGCAATAACTTTATTAACTATGTATTTTATGTATACACAACTATAAACCTATATTCAAAGAACTATAAACACAGAGATATTCCCAACTTTATATTCTATGCATTTTGAGTCCCCTATGCATCTAGCCCAGTGTTTGTCTCATCAAATGTGTTCCCTTTGATAGATAAGAATCTCTTGTCTGGAGAGTCCAAGTGAGAGGCAGGGATAGGGCAGCTGGGCGGTGACTGTCATCCAGGCCTCGGTCTCCCATCTGCTGGTGTAAGGGCCTGGTGGGTGAGTTTCAAGGATGGCTCTGACTTCTGAGGGGATTCCTTCCATTTCCAATGTGAAGGTGTGCCTGATGATCATAATTATATTAATATTGTGACATCTGGATAAAAGAAGATGGGAACATTTTACTTCTGAGCAGGGGAAGGCAGACAAGGAGAAATAAATCCTGAAAAGAACATTTTGCTTTGTCAATATTTTCTTTACAAAATGAAAACCATGATTTGGATTAGTTATCTTCTCATACCTGTGCTGTAAAACAAAATGGGCAATTTTACAAGGAAATATATATACTTGAACATATGGTGAACCATATGAAAATGCCAATATCTGACTGGTTTAGACCCATGAAAGAATTATGTTCAAATGATTTAGCCTAATACTTATGTACCAATCAGCAAACTCCTGAAAGTATAATATTTAAGCACAAAATATTTTACTGAAGAATAAAATATATATATATATATATATATATATATATATATATATATATATATATATATGAGAGTGAGAGGGTTCTAATGTAAGAACAAATAGCCAAGATAAAAAATAAAATCATCAAGAGTTACTTTTGAATGAATGTTGAAATTCCTGGTCAAAGAAAAATCAGGAGGGTGGGGGGAATCAAATAAGTAAGGAAGGCTTTTACACACATGGTGATGTGTGAAGTAATAGATTGACTGAGACAGGTCCACACACCCCTCTTCAAAACTGAGGTTCCAGCAGCAGCCGCTCTGTGGAGGACCAACCATCATCAAGAGACCTGTGAAATTAATACAACCCGGCGAGGAGATTCCCCTGGCTGCCTAGCAGACAGCAGACATACTGGATGGGGCCCCGGCTCAGACAAAGGCTCCTGTTCAGCGGGAACAGGTACAAGACAGATGGTTTGTTAAACATTGCCAGCATACTTGAGCAGTGCCATTCGGCGGTCAGAGCCAGGATAATAGTCCCAAGGACATTGTGTAGCAGCGCATTGGCTAATTTCAACCCAGCTAAAGCTATTGCTTATCTTTGTTGGTTTTGCAAAGATTAAGGCCGTTTTTCTGCTTTGAATGCACCATAGCTGCCCCGCAAAGCATTCCTGGAGTTTTGTCTGAATTCCCGCTGCTGAGAGGGGTCAGCAGGACGTGGCACATGCAAAGACTTGTTTTGCTGGTAGTTAGAGTCACTTCTCCTTAAAAGATCTGGGCCCCTCTGTACTCTTACTTCTGGGGGCCATTCTGGAGGGGGGCAGCCTTCTCAGTGAAGTTTCAAGGAGTCTGCTGTGGATTTATGTTTCCTATTAGGACTGGATTCGTTTGCTACTTTTGTGGGAAAAGGGTTAACATCCTCATAAATTCCATCCGCTGAATCACAGCGAGGTGGTGGTGCAAATTAAACGTGTTTGCTTTTGGAAGGGGCCCTTAGCTTCTTATCTTTATGTACTGAAGCAAATCAAGCTCAGCCTGGCCCTTGCGACCAATGGAAACATACCTGGAGGTCAACTGAGTCTGGGACTCCAACCTGCTGCTCTCTCCTCTGCAGACAAAGGAAGAAGGCATAGAGCTGATGCAGAGGGGGCCTACAGGCCCAATGCAAAAGGTGGTATGGCCATTACCTGGATGTGTTAGGAAAAAGCGATGTCTTGATCAATAGGTTATTTCAGACCATTCAGGTGCCTCTATCCTCTTTTATAGGCAGTGCATGGCTCACCCCAGTATCCACTGCCTAAATTAATTTCCAGCTATGAAATTAAGAGGTTGTGCCCAGCAGATAAACCCTAAATTTTGTTTTTATTGCATCTACAGAAGCAAAGAAGCCAAAAAAAAAAATGTATCCCTCTCTTAACACCTCTCTCTCTTTCTCTCCCACATCTAGGCTTCAGTATCTCTACTTAGCATCAGGTATTATCATGTAGAATTAATCAGTAGCAGCTAAGCACTACTGATTTAGTAAACATCTAGGCACTGAGAATATATCCTGGGGAATTAAAAGCCATTTCAATTCTAAAGAGCTTTGCAATTGGAAACTACAAAACAGGAGAAATCATTGTGAAGTAACACACTCAAATATTGCATTACCATATATATTTTTTTTAATTCAAGAAGGATAAAAGCATTGGCCATGAAGGTTGCCAAAAATTATTTGAAAGGAATGTTATATATATATCTACTCAAGTGCAAAGAATTCTATATAACAAAAAGCTAATATGCAACTCGACCAAACAGCAGAATGACCAGTCACTATGATGTACAATGACCACGAGAGGGCAGATGCTCAATGCAGGAGCTGCCCCCCTGGTGGTCAGTGTGCTCCCACAGGGGGAGCACTGCTCAGCCAGTAGCTGGGCTCACAGCTGGTGATCTCAGCAGCCTCTGTAGCAGAGCTAAGGACCCCTTGGGAATGTCCAACTGCCAGGGAGCGGGCCTAAGCCGCCAGTTGGACATCCCCCAAGGGGTCCCAGACTATGAAAGGGCACAGGCCAGGCTAAGGGACATCCCCTCCCCCTGTACATGAATGTTGTGCACAGGTACTCTAGTTGAAATAATAATAATACTCAGGCACATCACATTCACACATGGCTCCTCTATTAATTTACTTTATGTTATTATTTCACACTGCTCCTCTGTCTGTGTTCTGGCTCCCAAACTCGTATAAACACCCACAGTGTATGTTTCATATGCAATGTGGACCATATATGCAGATCCCAGAAGGCTGTGTGGTGCTACCAGTGCTAACAGACATGATTGGGGAGTGGGAGTTATTTCTTTGATTCATATCAGCTCCTTTTCTTTGATTCTTTTAGTCAAAGGCTACTATTGTTCTTGTGCCATTGTCCATTTAATCTAGTTTTAAAGTGTATGAGTGTACAGAATTTTATGTCCACCTTTATCATGCCACTTTTCAAAGAATTGATTTTAGCCAATCTTTTTGGTTGTTTGAAGCATCATCCAGTACACCAAAAGGTGGCGGGTTTGATTGCTGTAAGAGCACATAGCCAGATTGCAGGTTTAATCCCCAGTCAGGGCACATATAGTAGGCAACAAATCTATGTTTCTCTCTTTCTCTCTCTTTCTCTCTCTTTCTCTTCCTTCCTCTCTCTAAGATAAAATTTTTTTAAAGAATCTCATTTTAGTAGAGATTTGGGCTGTTTCATTGATTTCCCATCTGGACTCTCTTATGTCCTTCCTTCTTATTGTTTTGGTTTTATTATATTATTATTTTCTTTTTTTCCCCTTATGTGTTTAGTTATGCTCATTGATCTTTGGTTTTCAATATGTCTTGCTTACTATTATATGTATTCAAAATTATGCAAAACTTTAAATGCTACTTTAGCTATGTGACACAAATGTTGATATTTGACACTTTCATTTTTAAATAGTTTGTAATTTTAAAATATCCCCTTAACCCCAGTGACTATATAGTATATTTTAAAATTAATTTTTCAATGGGTTGAGAAGTTGTTTAAAGTTTTCTTATTGTTGTTACTAATTTTATTTTATTTCATTATGATCAGAAAGTACAACCTGTACATGTGGATTAACTGATATTTATTGAAGTTTCCTTTGTTCTGTGAAAACTTAAAATGAATACTCTGAGGGTATATATTCAATATATAATATGTGTGACTATTATATATAAGTATATAATTGTTTTCTAGAAACCACATAAACAAAATAAAAACACGCAGGTGAAATTAATTTTAATTATATATTATATTGAAACCAATACATCCAAAATAGCATAATTTCAACATATAAGCAATATAAAAGTAATAAAATATTTTGCATTCTTCTTCTGTATTAAGTACTAGAAATCTGGGGTGAACTTTACACTTAGAATGCATCTCTATACAAATGTTAAATTCACTTCAGATACAGTTGCTCTGTATTTAGATTTCATTTTGCAATTGAAAGAGCAGGTTCACATACCCAAGTGGTTCCGAAAGTAGTAAAAGTTTTCCAGTATCTGAATCAAGTCCAGTAGGCCCCCTGATGCATGCTTTCCTTTCTACCATTGCAATTACCGACAGTCAATCACCGTCTCCAAATCTTAAATAACTATAAAATACTTCAAAGGTTGTGGGTCCAAACAGAGATGTGCTGTGAGTATAAAACACACATTAGATTTTGATGATTTAATATGCAAAACAAGTAAAAATCTCATTAATAATTTTATATTGATTGCATAATGTTTGGGTATATTAGAATAAATAAAATATTTAAATTAATTTTGCCTACTTTTTTTCAGATTAATTATATATTAGAGTTCACGCTGTACTTATCAAATAGTATTTGTTAATAGTATTATTAACAAATATTATTTGTTCAATTAAAAGGGCATTTTAACAAGGGACCATGCTTCTGAGGCATGCCATTTGCAAAGGCTTCTTAGTCAACTACCATGATATTCAAGTCATTTGAAAGAAATTATACCCACTCTTTGACTTATTCACATGCAAAAAGCTACTGACCACATTCTGCATGCTAGGCACTGCTCCCAGCACTCACCAGTTCCTTGCTACAGTGAGGTTATGTCCTTACCAAAGACATATGGTAAGCAATAAAAATAAGAAATTATTGAATTTCGGTGCATTCTCAAAGCCAATGGGTGCTATGGAAATAAAGAGAAAGGCAAAGAGTGTGGGATACATGGGCAAATAACATTGTAAACTTGGTATTTTCATTAAGAAGGTAATATTGGTAGAGCAACATGGAGGAAGTGAGGGTATTAACCATACTAAGTGGACTGGATGCTGGTGGGACTGGAGCAGATGAGCAGGGTGGGGAGGGAGATGATCTTAGTGGGGTAACGAGGCTGAGCATGTAGGAATTTTTACATTAATCTCAGTGAAATGGAATGTCATTGGTAGTGTGCAGATGGGATGTGGCTTAAATCACTGTACAGCTTTTGAGGACGACTTCCTGCTTTGTTGAAAATAAGCTGTAGATAGGAAAGGGTAACAAGAACCAGTGAGGAGGCTCCAACAATAATGCAGGAGCACATGGTAACAGTGGGGGTGGTAGGAAGTGGCCGGATTCTGGATATACTTTTGAGGTTGCACTATCTTGATGCATTGAATATGTGCTGTGTAAAAGAAAGGAAATTCAAAAATGATGCCCAGCTTTTGATGTAAGCTCTTGGAGGTCTTGCCAGTGGAACTGATGCTCCTTCCCAGAGTCGCAAGAAGAGCATTCCAGGGACCCAGGTATAGGAGGTTGTGGGACAGTAATATTTATTTGGGTGAAAACAGAAGGCTGTCCCCAGGTTCCCAATATCTCATCTCTGTGCCCCCTGCCATGAGGGAGAGAGATGAGATATTATTATTAGGCCCAGAAATAGAGCCAGTGTTCAGGCATTTTGTGCTATTGGTTCAGTCCATGTCTGTCCACATCTGGCTGGTGCAGTCTGTCCCCAGTTGTGCTCTGGCTTGTGTTGTGTTGCACAGCATGGAGTCGCTAAATACATGTGGCTGCTCTGAAGAGGATATGTGAGAAAACGAGATGAGCATGTGTTACAGAGGGGGGCAAATGGGGAAGAGAGAGAGAGAGAGAGAGAGAGAGAGAGAGAGAGAGAGAGAGAGAGAGAGAGAGAGAGAGGCAGTTTCTTTGTTAGGCTGATTATATTATTTTGGGCTTGGAACACACCATGTGCTTCTTCAAACAAACCAATCAACTTTTCAAACTTCTGTGGGCTTGCACTGGGCCTACCCTCTAACCAATCCGTTTTCCAGCTCTTTCTGGATTCTGTGTCCCTTACCAAGTCCAATCCTTTTCCCAGGCTAGAGAGACAGGCCTTTGTAGTTGCCATTTTAGTACTCACTGCACATGTGCCCAGCAGAGGAATTTCTCCTGCTGCTCTGTTTCTCCCCTTGTAGGGATCTTTCCTGCCTGCTTCACTTGGGGGAAATTAGGTCTGGGGGCAGAGGATGCCTGGGAAATGTATGAAGCTATAACTTCCTAATGAAGCAAGACTATGCTCCCTAGTTGATTATGCTTAATAATGTTTGATTCCTTTTGCTCTCTTCCTTTATTAATACTTAGCTACCTATGGTAAAAGAAGTATGCAGGTATCAAACACCCACTTTTTGTATTAGGCAGCATATGCAAGAAATATAGAAATCCAAAGCTTTTTGAACTAAAGGAACCCTGAGCAGCATGGCAAGAAAGACACATGCATATGAAAAATACACAGCACTTTGTATGCTAGTACCTGTGCGAAAGGAAAAAGAATGGTCATTCTAACTTGGCTGCCAGGTTCCAATTAGGTTATTCGGACATGTATACAAATTCATCAGACCCAAAGTATTAAAAAGGTATCCTATGGTCAAGAAATAGCATGTGCAAAGCCCAGTGTTAATAAAGAAGGTGGGTTATTTGGGGATTTGCAAGTAGAGTGGATGGTGGGTAGCCTCCCAGAAGAGCCCGAGAGTGAGAAGAGACAAAGTAGGGGCCTGATCATGAGAATATGTGAGAATACGTGCAGAGCCTGGGTCTTCTCTAGGTAATGGTGAGAAATCAGAAGCTTCTACAGAATACTACATGGTTAAATGTGTATTTTCAACAGATAAGTCCTGTACTCTATGAAGAATTGACAGGAGAGAGGATATATTTTAAATATGTAGAAGAGTTAGAAAGCTGTTAAAATTGCCCATGGTTTTATTGAGGGTTTTAACTAGAAAGAATTGGAAATTAAGGAAGGACTGATTGGAAAGATTTTGGGTTTAATTCATAAGAATCAGTGACCAATTGAAAGTTGGAGTTTCCAATGTGGAGGAAAGAGAATAAAGAATACTCCCCTGGTTTCTGGTTTGGGGGTTGTTGAGGTGTTTTCATAAACTGAGATGGACAAAGCCGAAGGGAAAGAAAAATTATTTAAGTATGGCTAGTTTGCTTAATTTGGATTCCCCAAACGCTGACAATCAGGATTCATTTTCAGAAAGCGTATTGGAAGGTGACCTTGTAAAAATGTAGAGAAGAAGGGAAGCAAGACAGAAAAGAAAAGTCACAAACATTGACTTGCCCAGGTTACTGCTATCGGGGGAGGGATGTTGTCACAGCTGCTAGGCCCTCTGGAAGATGCAAAGGGTATACATCAGAATTGTTCCACCTGTGGAGCTGGGTATTTATTCACAGATTCTCAGGGTGCCATTGATTCAAAAAGAAAGGTGATGCAAGGATGAAGTCTGGGTACCTTGTGTGTGTGAATGAAAAGGTAAGTGCCCAGATGATACTTGGAGGCACTGTAAGCTAAAGGGCTTCTCTTGAGGGAGATGTACATGTGGAAATGCCACTGTAGCCACAGAGACTACAAATGGGAAATTCCAAGAAGTCAGGCAGGACTTCAATACAGTTGGTTAATATTAGCATAAGTCTTTTCCAAATATCTCTCTTTTGCAGTGAAGACACCTCCATTTGTAAGTTATTAATGTGAACCTCTCCCCAGTACTTCTATGCTGGTGAGTCTGGATTGAATTTGTGCACAAACTCTCTTCTCTTGATAAAGTTTCACTTTATTGGAAACTCCAACTTTCTATTGGAAGAGAATTTTATTCCTATAAATTTTATTACATTTTTAATGGAATTTTATTCCTAAAGGATATTTTTCTAAGATTTGTTTTTCTTTTTTTTTCTTTTTTCTACTTTTTTCTGTCTAAAGTTTTACATGTGTCTTCTTTTTCCCCAATTGACTCCTCCCCCCACCCCCAGCCATTCCCACCCAGGGAAAATTTTGCTTCTTAAAGTCAACTTTATTCTATTTAAGAGTAGGTGTTCCATTGATTGAGTCCAGCTTTCTAAAGAATAAATAACAATCTCTATCATGGACCAGAGTTATGAGCATTCCTAAAATTAAGTTGGAATTTTGGCTTTAAAAGAAAAGCTACAGACTTGATTATAGGAAACAGAGAGAGAGAGAGAGAGAGAGAGAGAGAGAGAGAGAGAGAGAGAAAGAGAGAGAGAGAGAGGGAGAGAGAGAGAGAGAAATTTGAGGAAATACTATGTCCTTTTCAGCAGGAATCAGTAGCACAGGAGGAGACTTGGAAATGGAGTAACTAGTGGAGGTAAACATGTCTGTATGTTTTCCTGTTGGCCTTCTCTGTACAACCTTATTATGAGCTGCTACCCTAGAGCAGGAGTTTTCAAAGTATTTAAGAATACACATTGAATACCCAGTCTATATTCATAAAATTCCATATGTCTAAAAGCTATCTTCTAAAGACAATGAGTAGAGCTTTGGAACTATCTTCAAGTTCAAATTTGATCTCTGTCCAGTAACAGTGGGCCCTTAAATGTGCTGTTTAGCCTTCCAAAGTCTCAACTTCCTCAGTGGCAATCAGACCCATCTCACAATTTTTTCAGGATCAAATGTGATAGGGAAGTAAGAAATGCCATGAATGCTGAATAGCTCTTGATAGTATTAAAGATTTGGTCTAGAGTGACTTTCATTGTTATCCCAACTGTGGATAATTGTTAAGTTTCCTATGGCTCTGATTACAGTATGTAGGCAAAGGCTTGAAGTACAGTATGTGAGACCGACATCCACCTCTGGGGGCCCACACCACATGATTCAAACACTAGAGCCCCCAATGGATTCTGTCTTTCAAGAAATTCACTAGACCAGAGAGGCCTTGAGCTCTAGACTTTATATGGATTATTTCATTCCCCTTTTAAAAAAAAACACAAAAAAACAAAAACAAAAAAAAAAAACCCAAAAACAAACAAACAAACACACACACACACACACACACACACACACACACACAAACGAATTTGACATGTCTGACTCCTACAGCTCAAGGCTTCCATAACCTTCACTTAAAACACTGGTCTTGACTAACTCATAGTGTTACTCTTGTTAATTAAGAAGCTGAGGTGATAGAAGAAGCTTCATGAGCCATTGTCTTCCTAATGAGTGCTAAGTGACCATCTTCAGGAGCATATCAATTTTCTCAGCCCCTGCACAGCTGATTCACAACTGTTATCTCCTACCTTCTTCTTCAGGTTCTGCTGGGGGTAGGAGGAACAAGAAGGGTGGGAGGCTCTGAAGGGGTTAAAAGAACCTGGCACCTTATGGGGATGCCATGTCCCAATCTCAACAGGAT